AGGGTGCAATTCCAGTAGTCTCTCTCTCTCTTGCTCTCCCTGATACTCCTCAACCTACTCACCTCCTCCCGGAGCTCTGTCACTAAGCGGAGGAGTTCCTCTACCTGGGCGCACCTCCCAGAGGTGTGCTCACTGCTGGCATAAGGGCGGGGCACACCCTGCAGCCTGGCATCTGGCTGGCAGCGTGTTCCCACTGGAGCTCTGTCTGGGAAGCTGCGTCAGTCGTGGTGGGTGCAAAGCTTAGAGAGGTCATGGCTTTCTGCCGGGTGGATACCATTGCTCCCTGGTTGAGCTGGCAGATCTTCAGTGCCCTTCCTGTGCACCCTTCCACGCAAACTGCCATGCCATGCCCTGGTCGCTAGCACTCCCCAGGGGCTTCTTTTGGGGGGGGGGCTTGGCTGCTGTTGCTCCTGGCCCCGCTCAGGTCTCATCAGCCACTGTCACACGAGCTGCGGGCTCCTGGCAGCTCTCTCAGCTCCCCCTGAAGTCACCCTGGTTCGGGAACCCCCCCTGTGCACTGTACTACAGCAATTCACTGCGGATAGTGCTGGCACCGGAGCTGCTTGCCTCGGCAACTGTGTGTAGAATGAGCTCCAGCATCTCAGCCTGTCTTCTTTTTTGAAGGGAGGAGGAGTCTTCGAAGTTCCCAGATCTTCAGCTGACATTAAGAGATCTTAAATGCAAATAGATACACTTGTAGCAGCAGCAGAAAGGCAGAGAGCTGGAAGGCTTTTTTGTTTTTGTTTTTCTCTAGAGAAGGACATAGCAGAGCCCAGGGGAACCAGAACACTTTGATACCTGCACTCATTTTGGACTCCTACCTTTTCTAGGCTAACACAACCACGTATCACTAACTGCAGCATTGCACAATGACATTAAGGCCTGAGCCAAAGAGCTGAAACACAGTCAGTCAGAGAAAAAGATAGCCTCAAAAACAGTGAGTCTGGCAGCACCAGCGCAGTTTCTCAAGTATGACACAAACAGCTGAATGGGGCTGGTTCTCACTGACCCTGCAGTGCTGCTACTGGTGTGT